CTATTAGTAATAGTTAAAGATATAAAGGAATTTCCATTTTCTATCTGTAACGGTTCAATATTTATAACTTTTTAGTACTAATTTTCAAAAAAATATTTTAGCCCATCATTCTATTTTTACCAGCTTATCAAGTTTCTCATATATATTTCTACATCTTCCATTGTAATATATTTAGTACTTTTGATTACTAATTTCCAAAATTTGTTCAGACATTCCCCTTCGCTTATCATTGACAGAGCTGTATACCAAATTTCAGAGTTCTACTTCCTACCGTTCCGACGTAATACAGTATTAGTACTTTCTAGTCCTAATTTCCAAAAAATATTTTTGCATTTCACTATTTGTAATAGCTTAAGCTCCATGCCAAGTTTCAGATATGAATCTTCACCAATTCCATTCAAATGTAATTTTTAGTACCTCTTAGTACTAAATTTCACACCACTTGGCTTATCGTATGCAAAGCTGCATACCAAATTTCCGAGTTTTGCTTCCAACCGTTCCGGCGTAATACAATTTTAGTACTTTTTATTACATTTTAGTCTAATATTCAAACAATAGTTTGCACATAATTCTATTTTTAATAGCTTAAGCTACATACCATATTTCAGATATCTATCTCTTCTAGTTCCATTAAAATATAATATTTAGTACTTTTTAGTAGCTTCTAGTACTAAATTACAAAATTTTTTTTCGCAAATACCACTTCGTTTATCGTAGGCAAAACTGCATACTAAATTCTACATCTAACCGTTCCCGCGTAATACAGTTTTTAGTACTTTTTAGTACGAATTTCCAAAAACCCCGCCTTATTATACCTTTACGCACCAAACCCCACCTACATGCCAAATGATCAGTCAGTCACTTATAACGCAACTCTTTTATATATAGATGATGTTTTCGACGTTTACAGCTTTTTGAAGTCGAAAATCTTAAAACTGAGTCAACAAATCACTGGAAGCAGCTAGACCTTTCAAATTTCGTTCAAATGATTATAACATCCATAAAAACATATCGGCAAAATTTAAGAGGAATCGGATGAGATATAGATATAGCTTCCTTATATATAGATATATTTCATCCGATTTTATAGTGAAGCCGCTCTGTATCCTATCACATAAAATGTTCGGCATATATATGGGAAATTACAAAAATCTTTTAAATTCCTTAAAGTTGAGGTTTGCAAGGTTATAACTCGCGAAATATGAACATATTGCATATAATTTAAATTCATTTCTATAAAATGAAGTGTTCTTGTCAAAATCTTGAAATATTGGTAATAAATAACAAGTTGCGTGGAAGCTGTGATGGTGGCAATGTAAAAAATAGGTGAAAATGTGTTGAAGCCAACGAGTTTTTTTTTTTTGTGTTCGTTCCCGATTTGTGGCTAAACTACACAACGCACGCACACGTGATCAGTGACTAAGTTGCAGAATACCCCATGGACAATATGGTTCTAATGTATGATTTTTCGATATAATCACTGCATCCACCCAAAATGGATGCTGACATTTTGAAGCCGGATTTTCGGTGTTTTTTGAATTTTTCTTATAATTAAGATGCGCATCCAGATAATAGAATAAACTAATTATAGGATCGTAGAACTCGTGATTCTGCTTCGTTTAGTGTATATCTCAGGAATGTGCTCACTGTAGCTTCTTTGCAATTGGGTTCCAAAGACGAAAATTTAGTGCGTAAATTTTTATAAAAAACATATTTTTTGAGTCTAAAATTAAGAAAGTCCATTCAAATTCCGTGGAACCCCGCGTGATTTTAGTTTTTTTTTACGTGCCGGATCTAATGAGCCCATCCATGTTGAATTCCGTCCAAATAAAACGGCGGATATAGGTGTCTTGAATGTGGGAAAAACTGCAAACATTTATTTCGACAAATTCGCGTAAATAATCGCGGTTTTCTTCGAATTAATTTTACATGCATTTATGCTTGTATTGTCAAATTCGCGAATCTGTGTGGAAATAGGTCAATCGATACGCGAATAATATGCGTATTTTATCCAAAATTGATTGTGGAAGCACATCCGCGGTTCTTAACCGATCGTTTTAAAATAGGTGTCCTTTTGCGTATTTTCATAGAAGATTACTAAAATCGGATGCGCCATTTTAGGGTTTTTGCATAGTAAAGTGCATCGAGTGGCACACTTTGACCGCTAAATTAAACATCGAAAAATTAATAATTATTGAAAGACATTGATTCGGTTTATACGAAAATCACATGCTCATCAACTGATTTCAACTAATTCGCGAATTGCAAGCTTTTCAATATTGATCATTTTTATGTATTGTAAGTGCAATATATTTAGCCATTAATGACGTCGAAACTCTTATCAGATGAATCTGCCGATATTTAACAATCATCTAAAAGAATTTGCAGAAGAAAGCGTCGTATATTTTAGAAGATTAAGGCAAAACCGTATCCTCTTAACCATACTAAAAAATCGAAAATTCAAAAAAAAATTGTTTTAATTCAAAAATTAATTTATTTTATTTTCCGATATCTTCATGTTTCTATTTGTTTTTCGCGACTATTAAACCGTATTTCAGTGTGATTTGACAAGTATGCAAAGAAAACAATGGTGTTTAAGCATTTGTGAAGATATTCGCGAATTACAACGAATAGGAATTCATTTAATTTATATTTGAAATACAAGATTTAAAACCGCTATAACTTTTGTGCGCAGCATCCGAATTTGTGAACGCGAACAGATTTCGAATCAGCATATTTTTCTTAACCTATGTACCAGAAATCATAAATGTGCTCGCAAAAAAATTTTTCAAAAATTTTAATGGAATTTTAAAAGAATTTTGTAATTTCCCATATATATATATACATATACATATATATCTTAAGCCATTGTAAAAACCAATTTTCAGTGCCTTATAGGAGTATTGACAGAATCCCTCCCAGCGTTGTCCTTTGCTCTATTTTGTACCTGATAGTTATGTCATGTAGGCTGCCGTTTATCTATTTATTTGTTGGCATATGGCTGCAGTTCCGTAAAATGTCAGAACACATTGCTTTGAACTAAGTCGGGCCGACATTTTTATTCCCTCCATCATGAGATAGACTTTCCAAATACCAATCCAAAATATAAAACCAGTAAGGAAAGTAGTAAAGTCGGACGGAGCCGACTATATGATACCCTTCACCACTTTGGGTATATTCAACAGATGAATCCTAACAGACGTCGCATTTTTAAATGGACCAGTGAAATGAACTTGGATCCATAAACATGTCATTCTGCAATTCATTACGGACTTTGGTACAACATTTACCTTAAATCGGACGAAGATATATATGGGAGCTATATCTAAATCTGAACCGATTTTCAGGAAACTTAACACACATCATTCTAGACCTAATCCATTTCGCTATTCCAATTTTCGCGAAAATCGAAAGATATATGGGGACATTGGTACACCATTTACTTTAAATCGGACGAAGATATATATGGGAGCTATATCTAAATCTGAACCGATTTTCAGGAAACTTAACACACATCATTCTAGACCTAATTCTTTACGCCATGACAAATTTCATGTAAATCGAAAGATATATAAGGACTTTGGTGCATCATTTACCTTAAATCGGACGAAAATATATATGAGAGCTATGTCTAAATCTGACCTGTGCCAAATTTCATCCAAATCGGATCATAAATGCGACCTGATATAATTACAGACAACTTGGTTGGAAAACATGCCCTAAAACACGGATTCATCGTATTGCGAATTTAGATCATTTCTGACAGACATGACAGTAATTTTGTTTTAAAAAATCATCCAAAATACCGAATGATGCGGTTATGATTTTACAAGAGTGCAACATTTAATTGTTAAATATTTGTCGGTGCAATAACCTTAAAAATAAACAAAATTATGTATATCGTGAGACGTATTAGTTTACTTGTCATTTGATATCAACAGTATCGACAATATTTTGTATTTATTAATATTTCAAATTCCTTCGGTCTAATATCGACGCACAAAACATAATATCAAATCGAAAATGTGTTGTTTTATTAGAATAATTTAAATCTAATTTAGATGTATAATTATATGTATGCAAAAACAATTTTGCATCTTGGTTTTTGGTAAGGTACCGGTATCAGTTATAATGACGAAACCTATATGTGCAACAACGGTAAAATAATTAATTAATTTTTTTTTAATGCGATCTTCATATTTATCACTGTTTCATTTGTGTATTAATTATTTAGAAAAATTGTACATAATTTAAAAACGTTTAAAACAAGTTTGGGAAACGTGTTTGAACTCATTACTATTCCCAAATATGGAGAACACTTTCTTTTCTACATATAGTTTTGAACATTAAAAGGCGACAACAGGCGAATTATTGATTAGTTCTATAGTAGCTTCGAACAATTCGGTTTGTGATATTAACATAATTTGACAAAATTAAAAAATAATATAATTCAATTGAAATAATTTCTCTATAAAGTATGTTTCGGGTCCAAATTGCTACCGTTTTTATTATTGCTGCGCTAGCAACAGTGACCTGTGATAAATATCTCGACAAAAAACGTATGAAGACAGTGAATAGACTTATTGGGAGATAATTGATTTGTGTTTTTATTTTAGCGGAATTTTTTACACCTTGCAAGCAAACGGATCCCAACTTTAAACAATGTTTTGCAAAGGATTTTGAAGTTGTGTTCTCTAAGTATAAAGATGGTAAGAGTATGGAAAATATTCAAATGATAAACTGTGGATATGATTTTCCAGTGCAAGTAACTGAAATTGATAACTGAAACCGATAAAAAAGAAAACAGAAAAACGAAATTTTATAAAATTTGAAAAAAGTATGATCATATGCAAGTCATACGATAAAAAATAAATAATCTAAAACATTTGTCTTTTGAACTTTTGAAAACTAAAAAAATACCGTTATCGTAATTAATGTCCTCCGAATAATCAAATACAGCAACTGTTCACATCACAATTATAATTATGTATTGTCTCTAGGTGTACCTGGACTTAAGAACTTCGGAACCATTGATCCATTGCATGTTAAACGTGTTGTTGTGGCTGAAGATGGCAATAGTCCTGTCTCCATCAACCTAGCTCTCTCCAACATAGAAGTTCTTGGCTTCAGTAACACCAAAGTACTCGAAGCCAGGTAAGTAAAAAGTAGTAAATTTTTGTGAAGAAAACTAATTTTATTTTTCTTTCAGTTTTGATCAGACAAAATACATTACGAAGCTGAAATTTGTAGTCCCCGATATAAAAATTCTATCTGATTACGAGGGTAAAGGACGTGTATTAACATTGCCATTGAATGGCAACGGAAAGGCTCAAATGGATATTAGTAAGTACATTTTATTGAACCACGGAATTTGTGAATTTTTATTGAAATTAATAGTCCTAGAATTTTGATACATATATTTCCATAGAATCTGGATGTCATTGACATGTATAGCATATCCGCAAAATTTTATATTTTTCCTTCTATATTGCCCTAAGATGCAAATGCGTCCAAATATATGTATTGCTGCTAATGATCAGTGGATAACGACGAGACGGGTGTCTTGCAGTCAGATCGACGATGGCCATTAATATGGAAAATAGAAATTTGGGCCATCAACACGATATCTGTTCCAAATATCATCATATTTTAGTATATTTCCTATATAATGGTAGAAAAAATATTAGGCATTTTGTGGATTTTTGGCGACATTTTAATACCCTACACAACTATGTTGAAAGCGTAATATAGCTCTGTGCACCCCCAAGAGTTTGTAACGCCGCGAAATATTGGTCCTAGACCCACCTTTAAGTATACCGATCGTCTTATCTCGACTAGCTAATTCGATGTAGACATGTGTGTCCGTCCGTCTGTCCATAATAATTTGTAAACACGATACATACCACAGTTATGGCCCAATTTTCAAGAAATTGTTCATGTATGATGGGTTCTGGCCAATGAAGACCCCTATTTCTATTATGTGACGTATATATTTACTACTGAAGGACATAGACCCGAGACCGCTTTAAAATTTTCCAAGATGTTCCAGTTATGGTCAAGGACAACGTCTATAATTTGGGATGAAGTGGACCGAAAACTTAATTTTTGTGTGTTTTTGAGTCGATCTATAGGCCACAAGCCGACCATCACAACAAAACCCACGATGTCTCATTTGACCCCAACTCTGCATATCGTCGTATTTGTAGCAACTCTAAATCAGTTCCAGATGTAGAATCTACTTCTTCATCCATCCATTTCCACATGTTGAAATCCACACCATTCGATCCATAATTTTCAAATCGTAATACTTTTAACAAACTTAGAAGAAGTCCGATGATGGGACCCAATTATGAAAAATTAGGCATAGGCTGTGGGTACACCGACTGACACTTTTTTATAACCTCCACCATAAGGTGGAATGTATATATATATATATATATATATTAAAATATTTTATATATGTATATTAAATTTGTCATTCTGTTTGCAACACCTTGAAATATTTACCGGAGACCCATAAAAATGTAAGTTTATATAACGGTACTGGCAGGGACGTACGCAGCCGACGACATTTACGACATTTTTACTTGTTTGTGATTGTCTTCTAATATTTCTTTATAATTTTTTCCAATGTCGATATAACTGTATGTTTCATTTTCATTTCAGAAAACCTAACTGCTAATGTAATATGCAAACTTAAACGTCGCGACGAATATGGTATGAAATTTACGGACATACAAAAAGTTCGGATGGATATTGATGTTGGTGGATTTCATATAAATTTGGAAAACCTTTTTAATGGCCAAGAGGTTTTGGAACAAACGGCCAATAATTTATTCAATGATAATTGGAAAGAACTGTTCGAAGCTTTACGGCCATCAATTACAGCAACAATACAAACAGTTCTGGAGGATCGCTACAAAAAATTGTTTGCTTATATTCCGGCAACATATTTTATCGAAGATTTAGAATAAATAATAAATTGAATTGTTATTCAAATATTTTAATGGCCCATGATTCATTGAGTAAAATTTTATATATATTACTAGCGGGCCCGGCAAACGTTGTCTTGCCTAGCAATATAGTGATGTATAATTTTCGTCATTTTAGGTTGGTTTTTATACCCTCCACAGATTTTTGTAATTCCTTGGTATTTGTCCGAACATACAGAAAATAACATTACAGTACTAAATATCTAAAATTTTATGTTTATGAGCGAGTCTTGTTGATACCACTCTTCTAAAGTTCCGTTGAATATAATACTGTCTAATTTAAATGATCAATATTGGCCCAAGAATTCGAATATCCCCTATATAACGGTATACTTAAAATTCGGCATTTGACTGTAATTTTATATGCGCCCAAGCCCCCAAATATCGTCTATATAATAGTACTCCACATTTTCGATGCTTTGAGGGATTGAGCACGTTTTTAAATATAATCGGCTGTAATTTCCATTCCGGGATGGTAAAACACATTTTTGCGGAAACATTTCTATTTAGGACCAAGATTTAATATAGCTTCATTTCCGTATTGACCGAATTGGGTTGGCCTAACATATTAAGAAGGTGTCATAAATACTTCCCGTTTAATTATCGGTATGTCTGTAATTTTGAAAGTTATTTTTTCAGAGCATGGACATAATGCCCATAATGCTGAAACATTGTCCCCACCGATTTAGGGAATCCACAAAGTGCGAAGTGTTGTGTTTATAAGTTCAAAGACATTAACCAACGATTTTAGGTACTTGAAAGATCAACATGTCCCAATTATTATTATTTTCAAGAAAATACTCTAGAGAATGAATCTTATTTGTCCCAAAATGTACGTTGATTTTATAGAAAATCGTGTACATACAATGATCGCGTGTACATTCAATGTTATACTTCTCAATTATTTTTTGTATTCTCACAAAAAAAGTTTCAATACAATAGGTTTGTCCGATAACTTACTGAGTAAAATTTACTCAGTTACTTATGTTGAAAGAGTTTGTTCTCTCATGTGAAAATATTAAAGAAAGTTATCGAACAACATTCTGCAAAATCCAGTAAGAAATCAAATGTATGTAAAAATAACAATTTTTAATAAAGGAGTTTTATATATTTCAATCTATTATACATTGCATATTGTTTCATATCCCAAAAAATTCAAATTTTCAGTTATTGCATTCATAGAAAAAAATTAAAACTTGACAACAAAACATTAACATGAAAATTCTTAGTCCCAATTTATATTAGGCGAGTTTACTTGCGGCAAGTCTTTGACTGTAGGAGAGAGGGGCAAGGGGAATAGAAATGGAAAAAATTGCTCGTACCGACAATTTTCTGGCAATTCGTTTTGTGTATTTCGCATTTGTTGACATTTTATATTTATTTAAATGTGAAAAACTATTGACATCAAATGAAAAAAGAAATTGCCTTGTATAGACGCATGGAGCAAGTATAAAAAGGAACAATAATAATTGCCGAAAGTAAACTCGCCTAATATAAATCAGGACTTACTGAGTAAATTTTTGCAAGTAAGAATTTTTCAATACTTAGAAAACAACTGCCAAAATTTCTTTCTCAACTTCCCCTCATTTAGTGAACTTTGAAGTTATCGAAATACAAATTATTGCGATATCAAACAAGCATAATGTCAATCCAATTGAAAAAAAATAAAATATTTTGAAATTTTTTCGCTACCAATTCTAGCCCAAAATATCTCAAAAAGCAACTGCGACGTGGTGCAATCAAAATAGCTTGATACAAAATTCGTGGCAATGCAAATATGCTTCATAATATTTTTTTTGCAAATTTTCCGCGGAACATTTCAAGACTAAGATCAGATAAATCCGTTAAGCCGTTCTCTAGTTTTAGGGAGACTAAACAGCAATTCATTCAAGGCAATGACAATCGAATTGATTGTAGAAAATTAACATATTTTGAGAATTTTTCCATTAATTACAATATTATACGCTGCCAATTTGCGCCCAAAATATGTCCAAGAAGAACTACGAAGAGATGAAATCATAAAGGTTCGATATAAAATGTGTGGAAATTCTAATATCTTTAAAATATATTTTGCAACATTTTCGCGGATGTTTCTCAAAATGGTCTTTCATTAAAATCTTTCCACTTCGATTGCAGACTACTAACAGAAACTTTAAGTCAAATCGTCCAGCCGTTTCTTTAAAATAATTTTTGCAACATTTTCGCGGATTTTTCTCCAAATGTTCTTTCATTAAAACCTTTCCACTTCAATTACAGACAACTATCAGAAATTTTAAGTCAAATCGGTCCAACCGTTTTTTTTTAATAATTTTTGCAAGAAAATCACGGATTTTTCTTAAAATTTTTTTTCATAAAAACCTTCCCACTGTAATTACCGACAACTGAAAGAAATTTTGAGTCCAATCGGTCCAGCCGTTCTCAATTGATGCGTTAGTATACATTTTTCTTCTTCCATTTTTATATATGTATGTATATATATAGATATAGATAGATATAGACCTTACTAATCTGAAAATATAATACTTCCTGGCAATTTATTCAAATATTTCTTGCCCTGTTCCAAGAGAGATGCATCCATAGCTTCTTCAATAACTGGACGCATAACTGCCAATAAATCTTCCCAATTTTGATTGAAGACATCATTGGCGCTATCCGTGAGTGTTGGATTGTCACCAAAGAGATTATCAAATTTCACATGCAGAGATCCGAGATGTTTCACATTTGACTTTAGCGATTGAACTTCAAAGAATTGTTCAGAATCTCTTGTAACACGTTTGTTCTTAACCACAAATCCGATTTCAATATCGCCTGTAAAACAAAATATAAAGTTATTTATTCAGAAGAATAATGAAATATATTTCTTTTTTGTTTGTCATACCAAGATCTATACTAAAAGGGCCCTTTCCATCCAGATTTAAGACTAAAATTGTGCCTTTCATGGCGTAGCCTCCTTTGATATCTACCTTTGGTATCTTCATGTCCATTGTGAAGATTTCTCCGTTAGTGACACTGAAAATGAAATTGAAGCAGGTAATCCATTAATACAACTTTAAATTGTGTTACTTATGTTATACTCTAAAGGTCCAATCATATCCAACGAATGGAATAGAAAGCTATATACCAGAGGTGATGTTAATTATAATAATGTCGATTTATCGGACTTGTATCCTTTCCCTACTGTTGTATTCCCTCTTGAATAACATAAATGGTTTGGGAGGCCAATACGCTTAAAAACGTTCTCAAAATCCCATAAATACCCAATATTGGGGGTACTGTTATATGGAGGGTACAAGTCAAATGGGCTCATATACGAATATTTCGATGTATTGCAAAAGGAATGACAAATTTACTATACCTTTTATTAAATTATGTCCTTCACTAATGACTTACATAATTAGCTGGCTCGAGAGAGAACATTTGTTACATAAGCCGAGCTTAGAAAAATATTTCGTTTCGATATGTTGATATTTCCATCCAATTCGTGTCCTTCCCTTTCTGCGTAAACCATCAGTTGACTCGCTTTTATATGCCCTTTGAGCTGGAGCATCCTCATTCATTCTCACAACATGGTCTGGCCACCGCAGTCACTGCAGCTCGATACGTCTGACTATGTCAATCTGCTTGCACAAGTACCCATGCTTCAGATCCATACACCAGCACGGGTAGTATCAGCATATTGTAGAGTGTGAATTTGGTCTAACGAGAGGTGGACTTGCTCTCAAATTACTTACGCAGATCATAGTAGCAACTGTTGGCCAACACTATCCTTCTCCGAATTTCAAAACTGATGTCATTAGTTTTATTTATGGCAGTGCCGAGGTATAGAAAATCTTTGATTATTTCAAATCTGTAGTTTTCATGTTCCGCAGTTGGACGTCTTACATACTCCTTCTCAATCCGTTTAAATTTGGTTTTTAACACTCGCAATGTTCGACCCATTATGTCGATGTCATCGGCGTAGGCGAGTAACATATATTGTTAGGTGTACAGAGTGTCATTCTGTTCACCTTTGCATCGATGTATTTTTATCGGGTCTTTTCCAGGATTTGGCGCAGTGTGAATATCTGGTCCATGGTGGATTTGCGAGGTCTGAAGCCGCATTATTAAGATCCAATAATATCATTGACCATCAACTCACACAGCACGCTGAATACCATTTTATATGCTATGTTGGCAAATATCGTCTTGTCTCATTCTTTGTGCACGGGATACAGGATGCTGAGGTTTCAATCATTGGGCATTCATTCCACTTACCAAATTGAACTAATCAGTTGGTGCATGATCCTGATCATCCTGTACATCTCGATTTGCTTACGCTCACGTTTTCTTGTTCTTTCTTCTTTTATTTGAATTAATTAATTTTACGCAATCGATCACCTCCATCTGTTACATCCTCTACAGAATTGTAGTTTTTAAAAAAAATAGGGGTGTATCTGAATTTATCCTATCCCAGTCTCTGACTTTTTCCAGATGATAAAACAATTTATAATTACAATGCACACTACACACTTCATTTTTTTTTTTTTTTTTTTTTTTTTTTTTTTGAAATTCAAATAACATTTTCTTTGATTTCATAATCTGAAAAAATGAAAAATTTTAATGTCAACCATTTTTTTCAATTTGATGCTATAACACCGCATCCTCGGAAAATTTTAGAAGTTTATATAGCATATGTTATTCCCAGGCGTGTTATGACGTTCTGTGAAAATCTCAGTAAAATTTTTATTTAGGAGTTTAAGGAGTTTTTATATCGGGACATGGAGTGGTTTTGACTAGCAAGTACGTAAGTTGAGCGAAGTAGACTTCTGCCACCTATTGTGTTTGCAGCTTTTCGACGCCGAAATTCCTAGCAGAATTTATTGGTCATATTACGATTCCAGGTGCTCATATAATATGACTTTGGTCTGCTCATATTTGTCTCCCGTCGGATGTGGGCACAAATGAGACTGAGGTAGAAGAACTTCGCAATCATACGGAATATAGAAATTCACTCATCCACTGGCATGAATCAGTTGACGAGGTACATAAAAAGTACGGTGATAACACTAAGATAATACTCCTACGTACATTTCGGGAAGGGCTTATGGACAAATATTGAAGATTTCGAGGAGGTAACCTGAAATTCTATACTACAGCTTCTTCTGTTGAAAGAAAATACCTGAATTCAATCGGGACAGTAATTTTGTGAAGTAAAACTCTTTTAAAATAAATATACTCTAATATTGTAAAAAACGTTCTAGTACCCAATGTTTCAATGATTGTACCACTAGATCGTATATTAAGTACATGCAGTATAGAACGTTTCTTTTCTACATTACCTGACTTTTTCAATTTTAGAATTTATCAATCCTGTTACCACAACTTTTTTGAATTCCATTGTAACATTTAGAACGGCAGTGCTTGCTGTAACTTTTACACGCTTTACTTTGTATGGGTCAATGGAGATCCATTTTAAGCCCGGGATATCTGTGAATAATGAAACAAACTACTGATTTTTGTAAAAAAGAATTACATTAAGTCAATTTACCCCTGATGCCATTTATTAAAATACTTTGCCACAATTCCTTCACACATTCTCCATTATTGGGATCGTTTATTTTACACGGTTTCAACGAAGTAGCTAAAATATATAAATTAATATATTTGCTGACAATTTGTGATTCATTTACAATCATGATTTGTATTATTGGGTACCTACAAGATGTTTCTGAATCTCCATTTGTTACAAATATTGTCGTTGCACAAAGAATCGACAATTTAGTAAAATATTTTATATGCCATTGGTAATGCATTTTGTATCCGAATTGTTTGAACTTGTAAAACTAACTAATTCTGGCAGTCTAAGTTTAAATGCCTAGAACTAAAATACTTGATTTTTTTAGAATTCATTAAATACTTGTTTAATTTGTATTATGTAATATTTGCTGCACGTCGACTATTTATTACCGTTCATTTTATTGGCTATTTGGAAAAATTTATAAATGTACGACAATCTACAAATGCAATGGTTACAAATACAGTAGACAATTAAACCATCTATGAATAAAACGTGAAAATAAAATACGGTATACTCAATTAAAAATATAACTATATTGATAGGTTACATTTTATTGGGAGGTACTAGAATTTATATTGGATTTACAAGTCTTCAAAATTCTGGTAAAAAATTTACATGAAATTGAATATTCAGTTCTCTTTAAACTGTATTTAAACCAACCAATTTTTCCATTTTTAATTTACAAAATGTACATATCCCCATTAGAAAGGTATAAAATATATATATTTACTTGGATCTTAAATCCAATTAAGAAGGTTATGTATTTATTTACTCCATGTCGACTATTTATTACCGTTCATTTCATTGGCTTTTTGGAATAAGTTACAAACGTACTGTGTATAAATCTCCACTCGATTTGGTACGTTATGGAAAATTTCGTATCTTTCGAACCAACACTGGGAAATGCACTTTGTTTACAATAATACATGGACAGACATACGTGCTTAAATAGACTCAAAAATTGACTTTATGTATATCCTCAAAAGTGACTATGAACCTATCTAGTTTCCTATTGCATGTTACAAACATATGCACAAATGCCCCACGTTTTGACCAGTCAAAAAGGTACTCTCAAATCTTGCATTACCATGGACCACAATGGTGTTTTCTTGAATTGTGTTTCTCCGAAGACCGAAGAAAAACATCCACCAAATCCTTTAAATTTTCGCTCACTTCCCCACACATATACAAAAATTATGAATTTTTCATATTTTAATTTATAGGTAATTTTTCGATATTGTACATTTACCTCGCTTTGAATACAATTCTTAAAAAAAATCTTATAACCATGAAAAGGCCACAATTAAAACAACATTTCATTAACATCATATATAGCTAAATTCGCTCTACTTTGCTCTCATTTGTCCTCTCTCTTTTTGACAAAAACAAATGTATACCTGACAAAAACAAAAACCACCATTACAACCACCATTCGACGTTCGACTGTGTTTTGGTATGGTCCTTCCCCCTAACCACACTTGGTGCTTATTAGTTTTGCATCTGCTTATTTGACTACTATTTCTTTTTCCGCCGTCTCACCACACACTAGATTGTGATTAGTTTTTTATTCCATTGTTTCCTTGCTACAGACCTCTGAATTGATGTTATAAAATTCACATAAGAATTTTCCAAATTATTTTGATATAAATGTCAAATACAATACATTAAACAAGTGTTGATATGTCAAACAAGTGTGTTGAGCAACAAGTCGATTGTTTAAATTTGTATAGAATTGTTCTAATTACGCAAAATAAGAACTTGTAAGTAAATAAGAAACAAGACAAGGCATTACAAAGAAAATAATAACATAAAATCAAAAAGACAAAGAGTTTCTGTGTCGTATAAAACACCACCTCACTCTCTTTGATAAGAAACCAGTATTTAAAGCTGTATGAATTGTGTTCATAAAATGCAGAAATCCTGACATTGGCAACACTATTCATATTTATATAATATACGAATTATTTTTTTCAGTGTACACAATTTAGTTCATCGATGTAGCATTTTCTTTAAAAGGTGCGAAAAAAGAATGCAACAAAATGTTTAAGATTTAATTAATTTTTTTGGAAAATGTATTTTTATTTATTGGAAACAACCCAACACAATTTCAATGATTACGTTAATTCTAAAAATGTCAAATATTACAACAGAAATGCGATTGTATGTTACAAACGGAAACCCAAGCTGAGCATGCCAAAAAGCTTTAATCGCAATAAATTTACGAACGATTTTTATAAATAAATTTAAATCAAAGAGGTCAAAGCTCGGGATTGAATTTTACGCAATCGCATTTAATAATAGGTACACATGTAGTTAAAATATTACAAAGTAAATTAAAATCATATATACTTGTTACTGAATCAATAAAACTGATGACGATCATTATCCAACTGGGAAAAAACTTCTATTAATTTTACACATTTGACA